ACACACTTTCGTATAAATTACGTATTTTTTGCTATTAACATATATATGAATACAGTTGATGTACTACCCAATACATTCGTGAAAATGTTCGCCATATAAACGTAAATTATTTGTCATATATAAACGTCGATTATTACTAATTTATTCACCTATAATTAACCGTGTTTACTATACGTCTATATTAGATTTTTAGCTGTAGTATACTTATACAAATAAACGTTCGTACAAAATACGTTTTTCATGTACTACGTTATACGTATGAATACCGTTGATATGCTAGCCAATATATACGTGAAAATGTCCTCGCTAGAAACGTATATTCACCGTATTTCTAGTTTAGCCGGAAATGACCTACTTAAGAAACATTTTATTATCAAGTTATGTATAGAAAAATATTTAATTTAAAAACATAAAATTCTAAAAACAAACTTAACAAGATCTTTCTTTAACAAACAAAATAAATATCTTAAGTCATCACTTTGATGTGTTGTTTTAGATGTGCCATAGCTATGTTTAAGCCAGTCTTGTATATTACATATATCATCGTTTTTATAGGCATGCCTTATGAATTCTACAATAGAACCGTTTTTATTATAAAGGTCATATCGATGTTGAAGAAAACCAAAAATAACCACCGTAACGGTACAATTTTTTATTGGTTCCTCAAAAGGTATTTTATAATGTCCATGGAAGGTACAATTCCTAACGTTTACTCTGCCGATGCTGGTTCGGCGTATTTTCTGCAAAAAGGAATTAGCCTGGGTTATTTTCGACATTTTATGAAATAAAATTCAACTGACGAATAAAATATGGAAAATGAATGTGATAGGGATAAACATATACATGAATATAAACTTCCCTATGCATTTAGTCAATATCTTTGACCACGTGTACACAAATGAGTGTGATAAACGACCTACACAACAATACCACAGCAGACTACACTACCCAATACACACATATGCAAGAGATGAAATGATAAAAGATCGTAGCCCTAGTATGCCATATCTCATCCGCCTTATCAAATAGTTCCGTGGAGAATTTGTTATTTATGTTACAGGTAGTATAATAAATATCGATGTAATATATACCAATACGCCTTTAATATAAATAAACCTAAATGTATGCATATTATTTACTCTCTACTAGTTTATCGCCAACTGGAAATATGCGTGTAAAGCAAATTATGTTTAGACATATAATATACAATAAATAGTATCTACAAAAAAAAAACGTTTAATTTTTTCGTTAAAAAACATCAAGTATAAAAATAGTATAAAAACAGATGTTAAACGTTTAAGAAATCAAGCAAGAAATTTTAACGGGATTTATTAACGAAAAAATACATATTAAAATATTACATAAATTTAAACGAATTTAATTTAAATAAACCTAAACGTATATTTAGGCACACTGTCTACACATTGTTCATCGCAAACTACAAATAGTCATATATTGTTACCTATATTTAAACGTAAAATAATTTACAATTATATACCATAGAACGTATAAAAACGTATATTATTTAAAAAACGGTATGTATAATAATCGTAAACTGTAAACGTGTACAAAATCAACCAATACCAAATTTAAAGGAAAATTACATATGGAATACGTTAATTACACTAATGTGTGCTGCCTGGGTAGATCTTTCCTACTCCATTTTCGTATCTACGCAGAGGTGATCAGAGTTGGTAATAAACCTCTTCGAATTAGTTAGCTCTGGTGTATCTATCAATTCATAAGTGTTACACTCTTCGTTCATTTTGAGATAATTCCATTGGTAGTGCTCTTTGCGATACCCATGAATGGTTCTGGTCTTATGAACTTTGATTCATCTTTAAGCAATTTATTCATTGTTCATCACCCAGCTGTATCCCCTGTATTGTAACTTTGTTATGGGTTCTGAGACACTCGAAGGTATTTAATTAGTTCCAAACCAGCTTTGTGTCAACTCGATTAAAGCTTAGTGCCTTTAGGGCTGCCTGGTTATCCGAAAAGTTCTTTATATTCCTGTTAACGAAAAGAAAATTAATTAATTCTCTCGCACCGAATTTTATAGCAATCAATTGTGCTTGGAATATTATGACTAGAGAGCCCAGGTTTATTGATATGTCAACTCTTCACTTCTGGCCGAAAACTCCCGCTTTCACTCTTTTTTCAGTTTTGAAGCCGTATAGCCGTATAGCGTATAGTCCACCTGAGAGAGTTTTATACCCATGCTACATATCTCTGGAATAAGGACTTTTCTATGTACTGTCAGCGAACTGGCTAGTCTGAGGATGTGGTGGTTATTAATCTCACTCACAGCCCCGTATTGTCCTATCAGAGTTCTTTATTTGCATTGAATATGGTAGACCGTATCCCCGCCACCTCCTAACAACATAGCACGATTCCCGCATTTTTAAAATAGCTTTTTTGTGCTCATATTATATAAATTAACCTTAACAGCTTAACAGCTCTTCTGGTAAAAGTAAAAATGGGATATTGTGTCCACTGTCCATTGCGACCAGGCTGTGTTTAGCTTTTATAATAATTATTTTCAGAATAGAATGAAATTTAGATGACTTGTAGATTCTGTGACTAACAATTTTATTATTGCAAATGAAATTTTAATATTTCTAACTTCTGTGATCAATTCTACATACTGTTTATGTAATATGTCTTATATCTGAACGTTTATGGTATATTGCAGGTTATACTTATTGTCTTTTGTGCTAAATGAAAATAGTATAATTTATTGAATGTTATGAAAATTTTGTATCAAAAAACTGACATAAGAATTTAACTGAATATTTGAATTGCCTTCTTTTTGTTTATTTTTACATTTTATTTTCCGACAAGCAACATAATAAGTTATTGTAAACTGCAATCGATCAGAAATGATTAGAGATATGTATATGAGATAATAATAAAAAGTGAGTAGAATTAATCATAAATACTAAAATAGTTGTATCTTCAACCCGAACCCAGATGAAGGTATAGTCCTAAAAAAGTAATAAGAGATATAAATAATAAATTATTGTAAAAATGGTTTGATCTCTTGGCAGAAGAGATAAAAAATATTACCAAGAAACGTATCGTAAAACTGAACAATATAACAAATACAGCATTGAGGCTTCAACATGTTGCAGTACAATGGAAAAGTACTAAGATATGAACGGTAACCAAACCAGAAAAAGACAATAGAAAAATAACATCATATAGACTAAGTTTGCTTCTACCTGCTACACTAAACTATTTAAAAAGTTTCTCTCAAGGAGACTAAATAAATATAAAACAACTTATTTTGTCCCATCAAATCGGATTTTAAAATAAATACCCTACGGTTTATCAGATCAGTCGTATATTAAATAAAAAAAAAATATCTCAAAGGCATTCGATAAAGTGTAGCATCAAGGCCTTTTATCTATATCTTTTTAGGTTATTAGCCAGTAGGGTTAGATATAAATAGACCTGTAACATGTTAGTTTAACTAAGTTCTCTACCAGATGTTGCTGGGATGTTATTACCGGTTTTAGAACGAAAAGTTTGCCACCTAGCAAGAGCTACGTATTCATAGATATTATAGTCTGAGATTTTTTTTTTATATGCAGAGTCTCCACGTGGCAGAATCATTGTATAATGCCAACAAATGAAGATGTTTTAGTAGTAATCCCACAATAGAGGATACCTATGACCTTCCGAGCGGTAGTACTTCAGCAGTCATGCGTAGAGTTGGTCCCCTTAGGTCCCCTTAGTATGAGTTTACTAATTGTGTCCTTCTATCTGTTGCCTAAACGAGTTTGGTGTTAGTTGTTCACTGCATATCGAGCAAAAGTTTTGCTAATCCTTAATACAGTTTCGAGTCCTGTGAATGTTAATTCTGATCTCCTTTGGCAAGTTTATAATTCTTTTTACTTCCTTGGATACCTTCATGTCCTGGTATTTTCGCTAGATATATCTAATCGTGGGATTCCATGAGTATTGCAGAGCAGTTCCAGAGCAGCTTAGACTTGTTCCTCCTTGAAACAAGGCCTTTAAGGCTAAGATTTGTTCAATTTACTTCCTTCTTAAATTCTGTCATACATACGACTTGTTTGCATGTATTTCAGACTGAAATAGACCGTTGTGTATTTTTCAAGAGAGTCAATGATGTCGCATCAAGACCTTCTATTTAAAATAATGAATTTTTTCTGGTGCAATATGTTTAACTACTAGATAGTATCATAATATTTATCAAAGTGAACATTTATAGTCAAAATAAAAACAAATACTTTGAATTAAAGTCAATATATGCTTGCGTTCCACGGAGAAGTGTTCTTGAGCTTGTATTATATTATATGTGTTATACACCTATGACATTCCAAAGATAAAAAATATAAAAGTAGTATGATAAGAATAAAGAACTGAATAAATTAAGAAAATTTCCATAAGGAGAAGCTCTAGAAACACACCAACATCCAAGTACTCCAATTTGTAAACAAGGCTAGTGCGTAGACTCAAAAGAGTCATACCTTTTAAGCTTGTATAAGTAAAGATGGTGATTAAGCAGAGTTAGTGTTATAAGTCACAATAGCAAGATATGCAGAAGATGGTAATAAATATAATAGGACACAGGTGAAATCTAGATTTAAAATTGTTAGTCAATTTGATTATTACAAAAAAATTGATTTGGACATAAAAAAAGCTAAAATAGTCACTACCTCCTATCAAAATTTGATTTTATTCTGATAATTAATTGGATAATTTAAAAAAGTGTGGTAAAGATTTTTACACAATTTCTTGTATACTGATATTTTCCCAAATAACTATTTTGGTTTATTAGTGGTTTATTATTTTAGAAGTCATTAATATGAAATGATATTATGACTATTTTAAACCATTTTCCCTAATACTAAAAGTATCACCTCTCTAGTAGTGTTTAAATTGGAATGTTGATCACAATTTCATTTATGTTGGTTTTATATTTTATTAAGTTGTAGTACAGAGAATGCATCTATACCTTTATGTTTAAATAGAGACCCCTACAGCTCCATATGTCTTAGGTAAGATGACACTTTTATTTTTATTTTTGCTTTCAATGCTTCATTTTCCTTTCATTGCTCAATTTTCACCGCTTTATTTGCACTGATGAACATACTGATTTACTAAAACATTTTATGGGTAAAAATCAACGACGAAAAACTACTAGACTAATTTAATTACTAATTAAGCCCCGTTTTGTCAGAAAAATAGAGCTATCACGTCGGATGCTGCATTAGAAAGAGCGAGACGCCTACTAAATTGCGCAGAGCTCGTACAACTAGGACGCCTGCTTTGCACGTTGCCTAACTACAAAATAAATTATGTACTTTCCTATAAATCACCCAAAGCTACAATACAGGGGTCGGCATAAGTCTGGCAACGCTCGAAAAGTCGGCATGTCTGGCCAAAGTTATCTGGAAATGCATGCTTGAAGATTAACGTTGGCAAATGGACAACGATCCAACACTTGCGAACATCCGTCATTTCATGCAGGATGAAGCTTTGCCGCACTACGCGTTATGTGTGTGGGAGTTCCTTAATGATCATTTTGGAGAATGGATAGGCAGACGAGGAATCTTTGAATGGCCCGCACGGTCCTGTGACCTGACACTGTGCGATTTCTTCATGTGGGGCCTTTTCAAGGACCGCGTTTTTGCAAGAGGACCACGCACCCTTCCCGAGCTCCGAACTGCAATTGAAGAAGAATTTGAAAATCTTTGCGGACACCTTAACTTGCTTCGCCTGACCTGTCTCTGCGGTGTGAAACGTTGCCGTCAATATATTGATCAAGATAGGCATCAATTTGAATACTTAAACTAACCCTTTTTCGAATCCTCTTTGTAATTTCTTCGAATAAATTAATTTTGACGCTGAATTTTTTTTATGAAAATTTGTTGCCTTACTTATCCGACCCCTGTTATCTATCTGTAACATGCGGAGGGTGAGCGGCCATACGATATATAGGTCTTACCAGGCCCATTGTGCATCTTCCTAAATTCAGAAGCTAGTCAGAATATCTGTGATCTGGCGCAGATTCTGTCTAGTCATAGTCAAGTATTTGTTTGCTCTGATGGATAATATAAAAGCTCCGTGGCAACTCTGCAACTTCTTCTTTTATCCCTCCTTCCCTTGAATTTCCCAAGGGAATGTTCTTTAATTAGGTTTGTTACTACCAATAGTGTCAGTCTAATGGAAAGGTGAGGTCCAAACAGTATTTGGTTGGGTGCCTTCTTGGCTAGTGAATCATCAAGACGGTTAACTTTCGATGTGGTGACCTTTAAATTCATCTTAAGATGACCACATTTTTAATGGATACTTCTGATAAAGCTTCGTTATATTTTAGTACTGTTTCTGAGTCACTTTGTGGTCTTTCCAGAATAAATAGTGCCTGTCTGCTATATGTACAGATGAGCATATTTCTTTCAGTGATATTGTTTTTGTTAATTTCTCTTGCAGCTATGATAATCCACGTAAGCTTGCTTTGAACTACAATGGCACTATTGCTCATAGCCCATTTTATATTTAGATTAAAGGATCTGGAGTATATTCCACATCCTGAGAATTGTTTTGTTTAAGAACCGTCGGTGTAGATATGAATCATACTTTCAGCTCTTTTATTTATTTCTTTGTAACCTTATATGGCTTTTGGAAGATATATCTCGGTTGTTCACTTAAAGCAGTGGAAATGTGTAGAGTGCCTTCCACCAAAACCGACGTCTCGCATCACCAGATCCTATATTAGGTTTTACTCTAACCTTCAGTTACAAGAATAGTTGCAACCAGAAAAAGACATTAAGAATGAAAATCTTCTTTCTAAATGTAACTTTGAAATTGTTTTTGTGCGCTTTAGAGTCTTATGTTAAGTAAATTCTTGTGATAACACCGTGAATGCTTGCAATTCGGTTTTTGTAAACAAAGTTGGTCTAGTATTTATTCGTCGTTAACTAAAACCAACCGCAAAATTTCAGTTTCAAAACAACAGGGTTATTAGTGGCTTTAGAAAATAGTAAAAAACTTTATAATAGAGGATAAAATATAATAACGATATTTTATTATTTAATAATAATTGTCTCCCTGTTACATTTCATCTTCTATCTCTTTGTGAAAATCCGCACTTGGAATAATGTGAAGTTTTTTAAACAAAGGTAAAATTATACATTATTTTCAAGAAAACAGAACAATTTTTTGTGTTATTACATTTTCGCTAAACCATTTTTAGAAAAATAACTGGCTATTCAGAAGTTCCAAATTTAGGTTTATTTTTATTACAGTAATTTACAAAAACTAATATCTAAAAATAGCGAATTGTCAGGTAAAAATGTGGTTACAATTAATGGATTAAACGACTTACCTGAAGGAAGTTCGATCCTAATTATGCGAGCATCCTTGTTAGTGGAAATAAAGATAACCATGTAGTATACCTATGTTACGCCGCTGACTTACATGTTCGGATTAAACATTTTACGTTAATTTCTATCGCTGCCTGCCTAGATTACTCATTACCCGTTGTGAAGCCTAGGAGTTTGGAGTTAAAAATAATATAAATATGGTGGAGGTGGGACTTTATTTCCACTAACAAGGATGCTCGCATAATTAGCATCGAACTTCCTTCAGGTAAGTCATTTGATCCATTAATTTTGCTTTCCATCCTTGTTATTGGAAATAAAGATAACCATGTAGTTGTTTAGAGGATGTTCTATTCAAAACAAAACTAGATTTTTCCTTTCTACGTAAATGTATACCATAGAATATGCAAAAAAAATATTACTCTAAATTTCCCTCAAAATTAACAATAATAATTAACAATAATATTACTTTTTACGTCTTAATTGTAAAACTTGTTAAACACTACCGATCTCTTTGTCCTACAATTTTTCTAATGGTTTCGATATTAATGCAGATTATAAGGACGATCAAAGTACATACGTATGTGTACTAAGTGCTTGAGCTACCCACCCAATAGTCTGAGGAGATACTAGATGGACTGGAGAGTTAGAAGGTCCTGAAGACCTGTGAGACTTTGTTTTTTTCTTTTTCCTCATAAAATAAAAATTGTTTTTGCCGATCATAAATTGAGGTAATTCGTGGGAGAATGAAAATACTAATAAAGGCTGAGCTCATTGTGGAGTCAAAGTTTGAGCATTCGTCAATGAAAATTTGTATATTGTTAGCTTCCACCTTGACATTTTCAACTTTAATTTTTGAAAAAGTCTATACCCGTCAGGCTGCAAGCATAACAAATTTAGCTCTTAGCTGTTTTTAAGCTTTTCAAGTGAAAAAAACTATTGAAGTATTTTAAAACTATGTTTTGGTTTCAAGTTTCAATACATTTTGGCAAGACAGGATGGCCCTTTTAGAAATTTCCTCATTTTCTTTTATTATTCAGAATTTCTATAATGAAAGTAAGGGACTATTTATATAAGAGCTAGAGCAGAACTCTGGTTATAAGGAGTTCTAAAAGAAGGTTTGCTGCAATGAATAACTGGTTTAATGTTGACATGTACCGTAAAAAGCATTTATTTTTTTTTTTTGTAACATGGGATGGTTGAGTTTTCCATTTTGGTACAATCACTATGCCTTCTGCTTGGTCTTTCAATTATAGTACTTATACAAGAAAAGCATCAGCTAGGTAATAATCGAGTTATCGCATACTTTAGATAAAAACACTTTTATTATGATGAGTCATAGATATTGTTAAAGAATTAACCGTTGTATTACAATATTTGAGTCATCATCACTAGATTTAGATGTAATTTGGAAATCATTAAGGTTATTTCCAAAGCCTTAGTTGATTCACTATCGGTTTTAAAGTGTTTGCAAAAACATATGGAGCAAATGGTGAAACCAAAAATAAGACACTCAAATTCGTAAGTTATTTTTTTTAAGAACTTTCCTGATTTTTTATGTATTGAGATGAGATTCTTTTATTTGATTTTTGACAAAATTGTCCTGTAACAAAATATTCTGGGCAGACCTAAGATCTTCCAGTTTAAAATGCGAGAATCTATATATTTATTAAAGATGAATCTAGCAAGCAAACACCTGTTGCATTCTTTAGTAGAAGTTTTTTTTTATTTTTTAATTAAAGTGTGTAGGTTAGTTTTTCTCTAAGAAAAAACATCCTTTTGTGAAAGCTCTTTTGTGTTTTAAAGATTAATTTTAAAACTTTTAACATATCTTACGACCTTCTTATTATTAGTTAAGTTAGCCCACATGTTTTACAAATTTATTCAGTCTACCAGCAATCTCTCTTACCTTTATTACTTTCCCTAATAGCTCCTTCTCTCTGTTTTTCTTATTGGTTCGTCTTTGGATTTTGTATTTGCTCCTGCACTTTCTCTGGCCTGGTTTTCTTCAGTCGCTATTTAAAAGTAGGCTCCTGAGGTTTAAAGACTGATTGAAACTATTGTTTGCTTTTAGTTGGTGCCTTTAAATTAAATGTATGCTTGTTTTTCAAATGCTTTGTCTGACTTCCATATCTCTACAAGATTCTTTCCAAAATGAAAAAACTATCGATATCTGCTCTTTCTATCATATTTTTCACATTTGTGTTTAAAGACGGATATATAAGGTGCCTACGATGCATATATTCTATGGTAGATGTCTGATATACTTTTGTTACATTTGCATTTGTTTTGATGCGTCTATTTCTGTTCCCTCCAAGCCTAGCTTACATAGATTCAGCTAAACTTCCATCACCTTTCAAGTTGGTCTTGCAGCATATATAAATAGGTGGCGGTTTTATTTGATGACGTGACTAGTCACTTAACTTTTTGGTTCGGAGTTTAAGGTGGTGGACTCAAGTTAAAGTATTCAAGATTTTGATTTTGCAAAGAAACTTTGATATTTTGCCATTCTTTAAACCGTCTTGCAAATATTTTCCCAACTTTTTACCATTTCTTCTTTGATTGGTTTTTCGAGAGATATGTTGCTATTAGGATCCACTTCTTGAATATCCTGATACTGAATTTGATCCTTACTATTCGAACGTCTGTTCTGGTGAAGATGACGAGTTTATTGTATATACCTTTTAGGTTCTGATTCTGAATCAACTTAAATCTATATTTAATCAACACATAAAGTAGCCTCCTTTGTACATGTCATTGTCTATAATGCAGAATTTATAAATAAAGTAGTATCTGCTATCATCAAAGTTTTCGAAATTTGCACATTAAGTAGCATTTTTCGTTTTGCAGACATATTTTATGAATGACTGCACCGTTAACACATAAAGTAGTATCTTCTGTATATTTATTTGTCGTCTAAATGCAGAGAATTTACACATAAAGTAGTATCTTATGCAAGCTAAATATCAGTTAAATAAAAAGAAAAACATTATCTTCCTACCTGTGGTCTGAATTCCTTTATTTCTTTTTTTAATTTATCGTATTTCTGAGACGATTTTCGTTTTTGATAGTTTTATATCCATGTCTTTAGATTTGCTGGAATGTGGTCCGGTTTAAACGATGTGAATCACGCGACACAACAATTGGTAATGAGTAATCTAGACAGGCAGCGATAGAGAGTAACGTAAAATTTTTAATCTGAACATGTGGGTCAGCGGCGTAACATAGGTATACTACATGGTTATCTTTATTTCCACTAACAAGGATGTGAAGCATAATAATTGATTATTGAATATAATAATTGATTATTGAATATAATTCATACAATTTCTTTCTGCAACGTATAAAGCCATTCGCCATTGAAGCTTGTATTTTTGTTTAATTTTAGCGCTAAAGAAGCCTCCAATAAATCCTAAAGTGCCAATGAAACCCTTATATTGGACCAGAATTGTAGCACCTGCTGATCAAACCGACAGTCCTCAACCATCCACCGCTCTGTGGAAGGAACTTAATGAAATTCCCATCAACGATATTCCAGATTTCACGGAATTATTTTCGAGACAAGTTATAACCAAAAAGCCAACAATAAAGAAGCAGCGACAAACGCTTAAAGCTACAGCTGTCAAGTTATTAGACAGTAAAAGGTCGCAGAATGTCGGAATTCTAGCACAAAGCTTGAGAGCGGATGTTCAAGAAATTGAACATGCTATTTATAACTGTGATACGTCTGTTATAGGTTTAGAAGCTCTTCACCAAATTTATGAAGTGGTATGTAATTTTTTTACTTATAGAAGAATAATTTTCCAAGTATCGCGAAAAGTTGTATAAGGGTTATAGCGATGGTTGCTGTAACTATACCTTTGTTGTATATACATGACTATCTCCCTAAACCAAATATCAGCGACTATTTCTCTAGAGAAATAGTCAAAATTTGGTCTAGTAAAATAGTACATCTCAAATATAACACGACTTTGATTCATATTCTGATATTTTGTTGGTATAACTCTCGATTCAACATTATAAAAGATAATATTATTAGATAATTAGAAATTTATATAAAAACTATGACTCCTATAAATTATATTATTGAAACAATTGTTTATTTTAAAATAGAACTTCTAATTTATTTAACAATTTAACTTTACATGACAACATTTCTATTAAAACTTAACTTCTATCGACAAAGTCGTGCCATTTATATATAAATGTAACACTGTAGAAAAAATCCAACCCTAACTAGAAGCTCCACGCTAGTCTAGAAGCTCCACGCTAGTCTAGAAGCTCCACGCTAGTCTAGAAGTCCCTTTTTCATCCATGCGTCGGATTGCAAGAGAAATTTGTGGTACAGGAGCACATGCATTGTAAAATTATCTGGACACTTTTTAACTCTCAGACAATGAATTGTAAAAAACATATTATATTGTACTATTGTGAAATATTTTTCAATTCCTTTGTCTCGTATATACATGCAATTGTTAAAATTATGAATGAATGCTGATTTTGTTTAGTCTCTGAAGTAATTTTGATATATTAAGGCTCCTTAAGTTGTAATTTTTATACCTGTAAACTATCGTTGCCCCGCAGGTATTTTAGTCTTAATAAAATTTAATGGTATTTGATGCCCATATTTTCTACGCAAGCCGTGTTCACTAAGTGATTAACTAATAGAACTAGGCTTCGGAAAACCAAAGGCTTAAATAGTGCAAGTAGCTAAAGGATTTAAATAGGGGCGTAATAAAAAAAAAATCGATATTTTAACCGATTTTTAACCTTCAAAAAAGAAAGAGGTTCTCTATTCCTTGTAATATTTTTTTTTTATGTATGTTTAGCGATAATTCTTTTACACGGTGTCCGATTTCAATGATTCTTTTTCTGATAGAAAGGAGGTACTTCAGGGGTGATCCTGAGTAAATATGGTCAAAATCTAATAATTGGGTCAATTAGAAAATTTTCAAAATCTTCATTTTTTATGTATGTTTAGCGGTAATTCTTTACTACGTTATTTGATTTCTATGATTCTTTTTTTCTTTGTAAGGGGGTACCTCAGAGGTAATCCCATATAAAGTTGCTCAAGATGTGGTGATGGATTCTGTACGATTTTAAATTTGGTTTTTTTAAAATTACTTTTATTTTACAAAAGCCCATCGAATGTATGAAAATGTACATCGTCACTAGTTCGAAAAACATTTCTGATAAAAAAATTGCATTTTTCATTAACAGTGATTTTTTTTTTTTTTTCATCCGATATCAATACCCTTGAGTGTGCAAAAAAGTTGGTGCTATATAAGAGTAGTTTACTATTAAATTTATTTTAAAAAATATTAAAATCTTCAGGTGCCACAAAGCGTCTAAATTTGGGGAAAAACGATTAAAAAACGAATAAACTTTTAATTTCATTGGTAATATTTATTTTTCTTAACTTGGGTGTAAAATAGGTTCCATTCGATATCAATGTCAACGAAGACAAAAATATATAGACGTAGTATTCTACTAGCAGTTGTTAGCCACCACAAATGTGAAATTGGGCCCGGCTGAAGATTAGATAAATGCTGGGAACACTCACCAAAACTATCTTATACAGATAATTCTGATCGTTACTTAGGTCCGTCAGATCAACTGCTGGTAATGCATCTTCAATTGCCGTGTATTTTACAAACTGGTTGAATGCAGTATTTTAATGGTTTGACTATATGACCAGAGAACGAATTTGGACTATACATTGCACCATCCAAGGCCACTAAAAGATGGCTTAGAGGAAGTTCATTTGTATGGAGGAGACACACAAACCAATGAAGAGGTTTTTGTAATAAACTTCTAATTTACGCATTTTTATTATTTTCATTCCCGGTATTTACATTAGTTCTGTCGCATCCACTTGCAACCTGCTCATCAGCTTTGTACTCGTATAAAAAAAAATTGTAATAGCCGTAAGATGTTCCCGATGTCCTAAATATTCCGACATCGGCTACTGCATCAAAACCACATGTTCTTCAGTAACGTTTACGAGGTGATGGACATTACTTTTTAAAATAGTTTTTCTTGTTAAATCCTTTCGACCATCGAAATATATTGACTTGAGCATAAGATCCTTTTTATCGTTTAACTGATTTTGCTTTCTTAGCTTCTGCCTTTCGCGTCTTACTTTACTACGATCTATAACTGATGCATTGTCATCTTTGGTCACAACTCCTAGGTCCTGAAGTAATGCGGAGGACACCGCAGCTGACTCGCGATCAGACCGACCCAATATATCGCACTCTCTTACTAAATTTGGCAGAAATTTAGGCATTTGTCCAGATATAATAGTTATAGGAAGTTCTGGGGAAGGTTCAAAAGTAATTGATGACAAACTAAGGTTCATCTCCAAGGACTCTTTAATGTTAGAAGAATTAGCATCTTTTTGTAGCTTGACAGTTTTTACAATGCTGGACGATGGTGCTTCTTGCAATTTTCTTTTTTCTGTCTTCTCAATTTGTTTTGTTCACTATGATCATTTTTCTGGCTCTCCGCTGATCTAGCAAAAATCCTTTCTCTAAAACAGGTATTTTCTTTAATTATTCACAGGTACATTTTTCAAAACTGATGCACTTGCACCTAGCAATACCAAATAAATTCTTTGATTTTTCCTTAAACGTTTAGATCTTTTTTATGTAATTTGCAATATTGGCTCCTTTGTTTGTAGGGTTTTAGTAGTTCCCGATATGTGTTACGGTACTCTCGGATCCTCTCCACAATTCTTTCGCTTGATATTATAGGCAATTAAGCTTTCTTTCAAATTTCTTGCAGATGTGATACGACAATTCTGGCAACGTCTGCAAAAGTAGGTTCCTTTAGCTGACCGTTCATTTTCAGTTCGTTTTTTGTGAACAAATAATGTTGCAAAATATCCTCGTAGCTTGGCATAACGTTTGTATTTAATGCTGTACCAGCATTCCATCCATGAGTTAAAAGTAAAGTGCTGTCATTGTTACTGCAGGTTAGTTATCTAAAACAATACAGAATTATTTTGGACATTTGACAATTGACATACTAACATAAAGCTTTATACCACTAGGTCTGTAAATAAATATATAAAATTTTTAATTGTTATTTTTTATTAAAAATTGATGAAGTTTAGCAATTTGGTGGCACCTCTAAACATTAATTGTGTAAGCGAATATTTTCTGCTGTTATCCCTTCTAGTAATATCTACAAGAATAATAAATTGGGTAGTGTTAAATTTTGAACTAAAGTAAAACAACATAAATATATATATTTTTTAATTTTTCATATTTTTAATATTTTTAGGGACCTTGTGGCACCTCAAGACATGGTGTTAGGAATCTACAATTTTTAGGGGATCACTAGTATATCAAGTCACAACTTTTACGCAACACAAGCTAGTTCACTGTCTGCAAAAACGTGAAAAATAAATATTTTTGCCTCCACCCTATTTTTCCCTTCATCCTATTTTTCATGTGTTATCTTTAGGAACCACTTGTAACTTTCCCCTTAAATTTCCTTTCTATTTAGCAAACATAGCTGTAATTTTTAACCCTCTTCGAGGCTTGTATGCGAAAATGGGGCATCTAAATCTATCACTATCTGACGTTCTATAAGTATTCAGCAAATAATTATTATTTTCTTCGTCGCTTTTGGCCTATTGTAAATTTTGTCCTAGTTTTTAAACTTGAGTTTTTAATTTCGTATATTTTTTATTTTAGTGCAGTGAAAAAAATTATAAAAACTTTGCTATAACAACCATGTTTTGTTACATATTTTAGAAAACTAATTAGTTATATATTTTTAATACAAATCTAATCAAATTTCTCTCAACACAATCTAGCAGAAACATTGCACTATTTTAAAGTAATATACCGTTTGTGTAAATTTTATAACGTTTTAGTTATACCAATTTTTTATAACGTTGTGTTCCATGGGCTACCTAACTATTTGTTCCTTAATGAGATCGAACATTTATGATTTTGAATCTTTACTTTTCCGTTTAGATATGCGTTTGGAGTAGATTATTTATTGGCAAATTATCTATGATGCAAAGGTAAAGATATGCTGCTCCAACTGTAATTTGATTCAACTCGTTCAATGATGTAACATCTCTAATTTTGGCAAACACCTCATCTTTCATTTATAAATAAAATAAAATCAATTTTAGAGAGCAACCGCTGAAGAACTGGAAATAATTAAAGCACACATGGAAAACTCACCAAATATTCCATTAGATAAACCCGAACAGTTTTTGTATGAATTATCAGAAATATCTAATTTCGCAGAAAGGATATCATGTCTCATGTTTCAAGTAGAGTTTGATGATTCCATAAATACCATAGGCCATACTTTGACCAATATTAAGACTACATGTGATGTAAGTATCTTAATTCTCTTAATATTCATATCAAAGCCTTAATTTTTCAACACATTGGATTTATGCAAAGTTTGTTGTGTTTATTTTAATAAATTTATTATTTAATTCAAAATAAATTTATTAAAATTGAAAAAATACGTAAACAAAAATATTGTTATTATCATTAATAAGAAAAATAATTCTTATATTCCACCTAATTTCTTAACTGGGTACTACAACAGAACTTTGATTTTGCTTAATAAGTCTAGATTGGGTTACTTTTTAAATTCTTAATTTTAGTTAACTAATATCAAGGTATATGAGTGAATTTTAAGCCTCTACAGATTTCATTAGAGATTGAAATCAGTAAAGTTTATTTCTTGTTGACGAGTCCTAATAAGGACAAAACCGGTCCAATATTAACGTTTTCATTATTAAGCAAAAGGATAGAGCGTTTAAAATTATTGTTTCTACGATCACTTTCCAAAGTAGGCTCTTGAGCTTCGAAATACAAACGCAAAGTTGAAGTTTTTCGCGAACTGACATTAAGTAATAGCTTTGTCGCTCTCCTAGCGGAAAACTTGACCTTTTTGTTATATAATATATTATTTCATTTTAATAAATTATTTTCAAGTTATTTTTACGTAGTTTGTTGGTTTTTTTTATTAATCCAAGTTAACATTGACTTTGAATATCAACTCCGTTTTTCATGATTAACCATAATATAGGCAACACATTATACTTACGACAAATGTTCAGTTTTTATATCTATTTATTAAAATAATGTCATCGTAGAATTAAATTTATGTGCATTTGAGCGAGAAGTTCATGCTGCTTTCGATAGATTGCCGCGCTCTGCTACATATCACGTGGCCCCACCTGTCTGTCTTAAGCGGCAAAGTATCACTTTTCGCTCCTAATACACCAAATTGGCTATATTCTATTTGTCTTTTTATCTCGCAAGATATTGAATACCATTTCGTGGTCGCTAAACAATATAATATATAGATTTGGAAATTCTGAAAATAAAAAATTTCTATTTTCTTCTTCGAAATTATGAAAATTACACCCTCATATACCCAAAGTGTAAACAAATTCGAGATACGCTAAATAGCTGGGTCCCACATTATCAAGACCAAGGGACACAAAATAAATTCGTAGCATATTAAACGAGAAATTATTTAATTTGGAACGAAAGACCGAAAGACCTCTCTTGGGCTCGTCTGACTATGTCTTCGAATAACACTGAAGCCTATTGGCTTATTCTGTTTTACCCCATGTTAGTCCATAGCACCCACTCTGTCACCTTTGTACAAGTTTGTACAGATCTTTGGGTAAGAGGGTTCTATACGTTGTTGAATCAACCTGGGGTTGTCCAAAAAGAGCCTGTCTTTTGCGATTTAGAGCTTCGTATTCGCACAGTTTGTGTTTGGCCGTTTCTGGTTTCTTGTGACATAGTCGGCACATGAGTTCCCCATTGTACATGCCAATTTTGTTCAAGTGTCCTTTTACTGGGGCGTGCCCAGTAATGAACCCTGTTATCACTTTCAACTGGTTCCTATTCATAAAGAGTAGTTCTCCAGTTCTTTTGGGACATGGTCTGCCTATGAAGGCTTTTCCATGTGCCTGTTTTGGGGTGCTTCCCCAATAGTTAATATGTTGTTCCCGAATCCAGTCATTTATGAAACCCCGGACTATACTTTTTGGTACTCCTGGTTTTGTGTCTCGTTCCGGTGTTTCTTCTGACCCTCTTTTTGCAAGTTCGTCAGCCTTTTCTTTGCCTTCGACCCCTTGGTGACCTGGCACCCAAAATAGTTTTACTCTATTTCGGTCTGCCAGTGTTCTTAGTTCTTCGATGCATTCCCATACCAAGCCGATAGTAGTTTATAAACATTAATTTTCAGATTTGTGATACATTGCCATTACTTAGGTCAAATAACGTGATGATTGTCATTGATTTTTAAAACCATTCCATATCGCTTTTTGATTAAGGTATACAACTTGTTCGAACAATTTATCTAATAATAAGTGGCTCCTGTACCTCTTAAGCCTGCTCATGTAAAATATTTGGACTCCTTTTTCTTAATTATTTATCTAAAAATATTTGCTCCTTTTGAAATCTGTCCATGTAAAAATTATATGATCCCTTTACCCCTTTAGTTTGGCTCATATTTGTTTCCTTTGTCTTTTAGACCTGTCCACGTAAACATATTTGCACCTATTGTCCCTTAAGCTTCTACGCATAAATATTTAAAATGTTCAAAAAAGCTTCAATATCTTTACTTATTTTCGTAAATGTATTATTATAACTTCTTTGGGCAGTGCATTTACCCTTCTGATAGTTTAATTGGACGACTACTAATAGATTTTTTTACATATTTTTTTTAAAAATTTTATTAATTTTAATTTTTCAAATTATTATTTTTGTCTTGGTTTTGGGTAAATTTATTAAAAAAAAACTAATCCAAGGTCTTGTAAATCACTAGTGTTTACCTCTTCCGCTTCACTGAAGTTTTTTTTTTTCTTTTTCTTCTTCTTCTTCTTCTTCTTCTTCTTCTTCTTCTTCTTCTTCTTCTTCTTCTTCTTCTTCTTCTTCTTCTTCCTTCTTCTTCTTCTTCTTCTTCTTCTTCTTCTTCTTCTTCTTCTTCTTCTTCTTCTTCTTCTTCTTCTTCTTCTTCTTCTTCTTCTTCTTCTTCTTCTTTTTCTTCTCTTTTCTTCTTCTTCTTCTTCTTCTTCTTCTTCTTCTTCTTCTTCTTCTTCTTCTTCTTCTTCTTCTTCTTCTTCTTCTTCTTCTTCTTCTTCTTCTTCTTCTTCTTCTTCTTCTTCTTCTTCTTCTTCTTCTTCTTCTTCTTCTTCTTCTTCTTCTTCTTCTTCTTCTTCTTCTTCTTCTTCTTCTTCTTCTTCTTCTTCTTCTTCTTCTTCTTCTTCTTCTTCTTCTTCTTCTTCTTCTTCTTCTTCTTCTTCTTCTTTCTTCTTTCTTCTTCTTCTTCTTCTTCTTCTTCTTCTTCTTCTTCTTTCTTCTTCTTCTTCTTCTCTTCTTCTTCTTCTTCTTCTTCTTCTTCTTCTTCTTTTCTTCTTCTTCTTCTTCTTCTTTCTTCTTCTTCTTCTTCTTCTTCTTCTTCTTCTCTTCTTCTTCTTCTTCTTCTTCTTCTTCTTCTTCTTCTTCTTCTTTCTTCTTCTTCTTCTTCTTCTTCTTCTTCTTCTTCTTCTTCTTCTTCTTCTTCTTCTTCTTCTTCTTCTTCTTCTTCTTCTTCTTCTTCTTCTTCTTCTTCTTCTTCTTCTTCTTCTTCTTCTTCTTCTTCTTCTTCTCTTCTTTCTTCTCTTCTTCTTCTTCTTCTTTCTTCTTCTCTTCTTCTTCTTCTTCTTCTTCTTCTTCTTCTTCTTCTTCTTCTTCTTCTTCTTCTTCTTCTTCTTCTTCTTCTTCTTCTTCTCTTCTTCTTCTTCTTCTTCTTCTTCTTCTTCTTCTTTCTTCTTCTTCTTCTTCTTCTTCTTCTTCTTCTTCTTCTTCTTCTTCTTCTTCTTCTTCTTCTTCTTCTTCTTCTTCTTCTTCTTCTTCTTCTTCTTTTGGTGGATTCCATTTTTTCTTAGTTTTTGTAAAATATTTTACAAATTATTTTTGCTGTGAAAATTTTAGATGACAGCCGCTACCTACTTATAAAGTGTCTAAAAATCGCAAACGGTAAATAAGTGCTTAAAATAACCCCCTTAAGTAATGCATGAGATTTTAAGAACATTGATATCACGTACATTATTTAGGTTAAATCGAAAATTCTATAAATCAATAGACTTCTAAGAAGCAATTATTCAAGAAAATCAAAACCGCAAGTCATTCGGATCTTTCTTTATAGAGTTATCATGCCGGCACACATATGCACAGACGACCATTTTTATACTCAGAATGATCGGAAACGTGAAAAAAAAGTCTTAAAAGTGGCGTCAGAAAATGTTTTGTCTGCACGAATGCAATACAGCGGTCCCATAGGAAGGGTTTCAGTAAACAAAGAAAAAATAAAAAAAGTTTAGAATTAAAGATATAAAAAATGGGTGAGAGACGGGGGATCAAATCCGGAACCTCGGACTTGGATCTTTCGCGCGCTAACCAACTATGCCATCTCAGCATATACTCTTTGATGTCCGAATTCTTGAACTTGAAGTAAATTAGGTTTAAACTCCCGTCGTTACACACAAATTATCATCCCATTTCAGCTCGTTTTTCTTTCTTTAATTCTCAGCTTTTTCAATTTTTTTTTTTGATTTGTTTTCAGTTTCCCATTTCACCTTTACGGCGTAACGTACTTGAAAACTTAATACTATTGAAAGAATGAAGGGTCCTAGATATCTAGTTTTAATGTAATTATAAATTACTGTCTTTCTACACGATGTCAAAAAGGGTAACTCTAAGAATAACAGAGAGTGTATATGCAGCGACGGGAGTCTGAATCTGATTTAGTTCCAGTTTACAAATTATAACATCAAATCGTATTTGCTGAGATGGCCCAATTAATTAGCGGGCGGACGGCCCAAGGCCGAAGTTGCGGGTTCGATTCCCTGTGACTCACGCATTTTTTCTTTCTTTAATTCTAAGCCTTTTTAATTTGTCTTTGGTTTATTTTTTTCTTCGATGATATGAGGGTGTAATTTTCATAATTTCGTAACGGTAATTAGGGATTTTTTATTTTCAGAATTAAATTTGCATTTAGTTTTTCGGATCTTAACCGACCTATTTTCAATATACTCTAATATCTGCTGTGTTTTTCTTTTGATATCGACATTACCATATTTTTATTTTTAGTTTTTAATCAACAATTTAGAACTAAAAGAAGTAATGGCAATAATATTAACTCTTGGTAATTACATGAACGGAGGAAACATGTCGAGAGGTCAGGCAGATGGTTTTGGACTAGAAATTTTGTCAAAATTAAAGGATGTTAAATCCAACGATTCCAAAATTACTCTACTCCATTACGTCGTTAACGTTTATATGCGGAAAATCAAAAATCCTCTTGATTCCACAATACAACTGCCTGTCCCTGAACCAGGAGATATTAGAAGAGCTGCTTCAGTAAATTTCGATGATCTTAGAACTGATTTAAGAAAATTACAGAAACAATTAGAAGGTATGTGTAAAATTTTATTTATTAAAACTGGATAATTACGACTATGACCCGTTGTTTATAGCCCTTATACTGCAGACCTTCCTATATACAGATGACCCTGCAGTTTTGTCTCTATACCCAAATTCTATAAAAAATTGAAAATCTACTAACCTAAATAAAATAGTAACCTAGTTAAAATATGAATAATTAAAGCGGACGAAATCAATTCCGTTAAAGTAACTGTTACAATAACATACGCAGCTTTGGTGTGGTGGCCAAAGACACAGCAAAGGAAAGCAATAACAAGGCTAAGCAAGGTACAAAGAATTGCCTGCCTCGGAATAATAAGCGCAATGAAAACAACCCCCACTGCTGCAATGGAAGCACTAATAGGACTCCCACCTCTTCACTGTGTGATACAAGAGGAGGCAAGATTAGGTGCTTAAAGATTAGAGAATACACTGGGAAATCTTGACATTAGGCCAGGTCACATGCTTATCTCAAGGTTAGTGACAGGAGACGTGCTAGACATGAGATCAGATCACATAACCAAGAGGTACTCTTTTAATACTCCATTTGAGGTTTTAATACAGGAAAGAGCGGAGGTCACCATAAGGGAGCCCAATGCCCAACGACAGGAACAAACCTGGTATACAGACGGGACTTAGACTGCGGAAGGCACTGGGGCAGGAGTATTCTCCAAAAATCCTGATACTAACCATAGCTGTGCTATAGAAATACATTTCTCGGTATTTCAGGCCGAGGTATACGCAATTTTGCAATGTGCAAAAACGAACAATGAAAGTGCTGTCGAAAATCAGCATATTCGAATAATGTCAGACCGGCAAGCGGCACTTAAGGCCATAGTGAGTCAGAAAGTTACGTCGAGGCTGGTATGGGAATGCATTGAAGAACTTAGAACACTGGCAGACCGAAATAGAGTAAAACTATTTTGGGTGCCAGGTCACCAAGGGATCGAAGGCAACGAAAAGGCTGACGAACTTGCAAACAGAGGGTCAGAAGAAACACCGGAACCAGATACAAACCCAGGCGTACCAAAAAGTACAGTCCGGGGTTTCAGAAACGACTGGATTCGGGAACAACATATCAACTATTGGGGAAGCACCCCAAAACAGACACATGGAAAAGCCTTCATAGGCAGACCATGTCCCAAAAGAACTGGAGAACTACTCTTAATGAATAGGAACCAGTTAAAAGTGATAACAGGGTTCATGACTGGACACGCTCCAGTAAAGGGACACTTGAACAAAATTGGTATGTACAATGGGTAACTCATGTGCCGACTATGTCACAAGAAACCAAAAAGGGCCAAACACATACTGTGCGAATGCGAAACTCTAGATCGCAGAAGACAGGCTCTTTTTGGACAACCCCAGGTTTATCCAACAACGCATAGAACCCACTCACCCAAGGATCTGTACAAACTTGTACAAGGTACAAAGGTGACAGAGTGGGTGCTATGAACTAACATGGGGTTAAACACAATAAGCCAATAGGCTTTAGTGTTATTCGGAGGCACATAGTCATATGAGCCCAGGAGAAAAAAAACTTTTACAATTAAAAAATAAGAGTCACCCTCAACAGAACGCAGCTAAATCAGGAAAATAGTACCTCGACAAACAATTAGTTTGGCAAAATTATTAGTTGATAGGAAGAAACTCGGAACTAACCCAAAACCAGCTGATCAGCAATGGAATTCAGCTGTGGCGAATGACCAGTAATTAAAACCTAATATTTTCTTCCAAAACAAGGCTCTGCGATTCATATATGCTTTATTGTAAAAGTGAGATCAATTGGAACAATGTAAAATGTACTAACAGAAAAAGTGCATGTTCTTAGACACGTTAAACGGCTGTCACAAAATAGCGCTGAATGAAATAAACGCCTTTTAAAATAGCGCCTATTAAAACAGCGAGTTAAAATAGCGACAGGTTGGGAAATTAGTAAAAGCAGCGCTGCATTAATCAGGTTCTAGTTAACTGGACCGATATTTCGATAAGCAGCGCAATCTACCTTTCCCATTGTTTGACAATTTCGCATTAATCTTGCCCGAAAAAAGCACAAGACTTTTGAATCTAGTAACACTTTTTAACCGACTTCAAAAAAGGAGGAGTTTCTCAATTCGACGCAATATTTTGTTTTATGGTTGTTCAGCTATAATTCTTTAACACGGTGTTTGATTTCAATGATTCTTTTTTTGCTAGAAAGGGGGTACTTCAGGAGTAGTCCCATATAAATTTGGTCAAAATCTAATAATTGGGTCCATGAGAAAATCCTCAAACTCTTCATTTTTTATGTATATTTAGCCATAATGCTTTACCACCTTGTCCGATTAATATAATTCTTTTTTGTTAGTAAGGGGGTACCTCAGAGGTGATCTCATATAAATTTGGTTAAGATGTCGTGATGGCATCTGCACGTTTTTAAAGTCGGTTTTTTAAATTTTTAATTTCTAATACTTGTTGCTATTTGTCTCTTATCCTCGCCTTATAACTGTTGAGTTGGCTACGACAATTACCCTATCTCATGTCATTACTTTAAACAACTATCATTATATACATTAGGGAGCACTGAAACTTTTTTGTACACATTTGCAGTAGGCTAAATTATAATTGTATTGTTTATTCTCACTCTAAAAATATAATACGATTTGAAAAGTCCAGATTGTTCGAGAAGGTTCTAGAAGGTTGAGGCAAGCTATATAAGTCGACGACCTGACGTCAGAGTTTCAGTTTTTATGATAGACGTTACATGTTAATGTCATCAGTTGTATCGTTATTGTAAAAGTTGAGTAGAAATAAATTGATATACCAAAAACCTGCGTAACATTGGTAACAGCTTTGGGATACAAAGTAAAACTTCATGGTAAATACTAGATCCACTGAGTACGAAGCAGGCATGGATACTTCAGGCCCACCAGCATGGTTTTTGAAGAGCAAAGAGGAGAGAGAGACGAAAAGAGGAAAAGGAAAGGCGTAGGAAGGAAGAAGAGGAAGAAAAGGAAAGGCACAAAAAAGGAAAAGAAGAGAATAGGAAAAGGCGAAAAAAGAGAAGGAGGAGAGGCATAGAGAAGCGGAGGTGGAGAATATAAATGGCTTAGTACAAATCCAGGAAACCTTCAAGCAAGAGGTTAGTCAGCTTAAAATTGGAGTAGATCTGTTAGAGCAACAACAGGAGCATCTAAAAGCTAATTTAGAACAGCAGCAAGAGCATTTAAAAACTAATTTAGAACAACAACGGGAGATTTTAAAACAACAGGAAAAGGCTAAAGTAAAGTTTTAAAGGCAAATTAGAACTGAACTGGTTAAGTTAGAATGAAGAATTCGTAGCCAAGCTTCGATAAGCAACAGAGAAACTGAAAACACTACCTCGTCTTCATCCATAACCGAACCAAGCCACATTCAAATCCCAGTTTCACAAAACTATACTAGCAAGACCCTTAAGCCACCCACGTTTGACGGTCAGACAACATGGGAAACATACCGACTCCAATTTGAAGCTGCAGCTAGAGCCAATGGCTGGACCAAGAAAGAAATGGCGGCTTCATTGATAGTGTCACTGCGAGGTCAGGATGCAACCGTTCTACAGTTACTTCCTCAAGAGGAATCCAGTTATTCATCTCTCGTCCAAGCTTTGGAGACAAGATATGGCCAGCAGCATTTGAAACGGGTATTTCAAAGCCAGCTAAAAATTCGTAGTCAGAAATATAATGAGAGTCTACAGGAATCCGGGGCCGACATAAGAAGATTAATTCATCTGGCCTATCTACAGGCGCCCAAAGATTTCCTAGAACAAATCGGAATAGAGACATTCATTGATGGATTACAAGATGTGGAAATGCAGCAAGTCCTATATCTACATCACAAGACGCTGAGGGAGAAACTGATTGCAGCCCAGAAATATGAAGCGATAAAACTCCTATCCTTCTTCTCGCGCAAAAGTGAGGGAAATTAAATACCAGAAAAGTGAGAAGGCCAATACTAATGCTATTCCCCAAATCTTAAATATCCTACTAAATATGCAACGAAACAGCCAAAATGGAAGCAGGAGATGCTTTAATTGCGGAAGAATCGGGCATCTTCAAAGAACCTGTAGAAGCATGGCTCATTCTATAAATCAAAAATCAGCGAATGAGCCGGAAAATCATATATATAGATCAATCTTTCCAAGCCCATTACTAAGACTAACAAGCATTAATTATAGCAGCTATGTCTCCCGAAGAAGCCAATAACCCACATCGAACCGGCTTTCTAACAATAACCAGAAAGTAGAGCATCAAAGAGGTCTCCATAGTAACGCAGTTATTCTTTTCGGGCAACCCCGTATAGAAGAACAATGCTGGTATGGTAAAAGGCTCGAAGAACGAAAAGAACCGGTTGATACAGTTAATCTTCAGGCAACCACTATCAAGCCAGAGGGCGGCGAAGAAGAAATCACCCTTGAAAGTCTGAGGCAGGGACAGAAAAAAGACAATGACTTATAGGTTGTCCGAGAATGGCTCAAAAATAAAGTCACACCTACTTGGCAAGAAATCAGCCAAATACAGTAGAACTATAAAAGGCTACTGTATCCTTACGATGACCTATTGCACCGGAAGTGGGAGACCCCCGATGGGTTATGTGTATTTCTCCAAGTGATACTGCCGAGGTCACAGGTGAGAAATGTATTGGAGGAGCTTCATAGCATTCAGTTGTCAGCGGGAAGTAAAGTCAAGGTAGTTCACATTGAAAAGTTAGCGCCATACCGTGGTCCAGATCCTCCCCATTGGCTCCAGCCAGGTCCCAGTATTCAAGTTATTCGGGGCGAATAACTAGAGAGGAGGGAGCAATGTTACGCAGTACCCTGTAGCGTGCTGCGGTCGTCATAAGTAAAGGTACGAGTAAATGAAGAAGATAGAATATTCTTGAAATGCCTTGAAATGTCATTCCATGTTAAAGAAAAGTCCAGATTGTTCAAGAAGGTTCTAGAAGGTCGAGGCAAGCTATATAAGGCAACGACTTGACGTCAGAATTCAGTTTTGTAATAGACGTTAAACGTTAATTTTATCAGTTGGAGTTGTTAAAGTTGAGTTGAAATAAATTGTGATACCAAAAACCAGCGTAACAATATGTAAAGTTAAAAACCTTATGTTCTTATCCGATTTTCATTTGTTTTCAAGTAATTGTATAAATACCATTTTTAAAATGTTTTATTTGGCGTTCGACTTGTATAGACGAAAGGTGGTCCTATTAGTTATTCTCCTCGATCTCTAAATCGCACAGCAATAGATTATTGTTTAAGGAGCTGGTTAAAAAATTAAGTACACAAAGTAAAAGTTTTCACTCGGGATGCATTAATACGAAATGCTGCAGTCGATATTAAAGAAAGGCATGAAACAATTAGTAAAGACCGTCGTAAAAGAAGCAAAAAAAGGTTTGGAGAAAAAAGGCTTAACAGGTTAACTTCTGTGTATCAATATATCCAGTTAATCTGGATCGCGCGTGGATAGTACTTTAATATGTGACCATTTTAAGGAAATGCAAAGCCCAAACCACTGCACACCTCATGGCTAACCACCGCTAATAAAATTCACAGCTACAAATAGACTGACGTTAAATAAAGTAATATTAAATAATAAAAATAGGATAAAAACGTTTTTTTACATTATACATTCATGATGAATCTTGTGACGTTCCTCTTGACGCGCCCTTTCTATTCGTCTGAACTTTCCCATGGACATTCCGCATATAATTTTTATCCAGTAATTTGAATTTCTTATTATATTTTTTTTAGGGTGTGAGTGCAAATCAAGAAAAATTCTTGAAACATCAACTGTAGAAAACGTACAACCATTCAAGGATAAAATGACTGCATTTTTAGAACAATCAAAAAAGCAAATGGCGACAGAATGGGAAAACCTAGAGGAGTGCCACAAACAATTCATAGCTACTATGAAATTTTATTTGTTTAAACCGAAAAAGGGACCTTTAGAGACTTTCTCCCCAGATCTGTTCTTCGAACTGTGGTTGCCTTTTTGCGATGATTTTAAGAATATATTTAAGAAGGAACTCATTAGATTAGAGAAAGAAAAGTAAGTAAGAACAATGAATTAATTTTAAATTATCTGATAAAAATCAGAGTTTTGGTATCCGCTCAACCAGTATGACAGACATGCCTATATACATATTTTAATAACAAATAATCTAAAGAAGAATATGGATTTACGAATATGAGAATCATTATAGTATCCTTGGATTCTGTAGTGTCACACATTTAGTCATAATGTGAATGCAGGTTTTGTCCTCCTTCCCTCAAAATCTGCAATCATAATGCACAGCAATAATCCCTAATAGTATGTGTAGCTATTTCTTGTCTTGACAAATGCCTACAGGATTTCGATCTTTCCTGATTTTGTTACCCCAAGCTATAACCGCGCAAGTGATTACACAGCCCCACAAAAAAAGTGTTCAGACTTGGCGGTCGTATATATGTATTACCATATATTTTTCGACGCTAAATCCGATCTTGACCTTAGAAATGGCCCTCCACGTCTGGAGTTGGCTCCAATGGCCAAAAATGGCCTCTATAACGCCTGGAAGGTGGATTCCGAGATGAGGCGTGGTTGAAGGTGCATTCTAAAGTCAAAGTCGGGTTTGTGGTCGGAAAAGTTCACGGACAACTCGAATGCCCCTTGCGGGCCGGGAAAATGGCCCGGTAGAGGCCGGAAAATCGTATTTCGGACGTCGCAATGGCATCAGTGGTATTTTTATGAACTTTTGAATTCTTGAATGAATACTGTGCTCGAAAAGTTTATGGCCAACTTAAATTTCACGTTTGGGACCGACAAAAAGGCTTCATAGGGGCCGGAAAATCGTGTTTCGGACGTCATAATGGCATCGGTGGTATTTTTATGTATTTTGGAATTCTAAAATGAATAAATAAATACCGTGCTCGAAAAGTGTATGGCCAACTTTAATTCCATGTTTGGGACCGGGAAAATAGCCCTTTAGGGGCCGAAAAATCATGTTTTGGACGTTGCAATCGCTACAGTGGTATTTTCATGTCCTTATGTATGTCCTAGTTCATAAACTCAGACTGTTCTCGAAAAGTTTTTGACCAACTAAAATTCCCTCTTTGGGACCGGGAAAACGACCTCTTAAGTACCAGAAAGTTGTGTTTGGGACGTAGTAATCGAGTGGTATTCTCATGAAAATTGAGTAAAGCCAACGTTTTTCTACTCTGCGAATAGATTTGACGTATAGGAGGTTTCGTCACGCTTGGTTACAGCAATAATTCCAGAATTACTCCTGTGATAGTTTTCCCCGGTATCTAAAAGATCCCGAGTACCCCAACCACCGATTCTAAAGCGTTTATCCTTTACCCATGTATTTCTCTACACTGGATTGTCAAGTATAAAGAGTAGTTTAAACGATACAGTATAGAGTCCCCGACTTTACGTCCTCATACAAAAGTATATACATACAGTGAAATATACAGGATCTCTAATAAGACGCAGTAGTCTCGATTGTGTGAGGAAAACCCTCTTAGATGACGTTCAGGCCGGAGTTCCGGTACACCAGGTCTCCGGAGGTACGTTTGCGTGATGGAATTTTGATTCGGCGTGCCTAGAAACCCCCATGATAATTTTCGGTTTGGTTGTAGCGATTGTGTCTAGAGATCCCTCGGACATGACATTTCAGTGCACTAGGTGTTCGGGGATCGTTTTCGACGTGAAATTTAGATCAAGAACCTCAAAAAATACCCCTACAAGGTTTTTCGGCTTGTTTTTAGCAATTTTGGCAAAAAACTTCTCAGAGATGACGTCCACGTGCCGGTTCCAGCGCACCAGGTGTCCAGGTAGTATTCGCCGATGTTATATTTGAATTCAGCAACCCAAAAAAACTCCCAATCGACGAGTTTCTCTCCTTACTTGCGTAAATTTTTAAATAGTCCCCGTAGATAACGTTCATTGGCGTTTCTGAGCTCCAGGTCGGCTGAGGTTCCATTCGAACTTCATAATTGGGATTAGCGACCTCAAAAACCCTCAGGAACTCGATTTGGGCTAGTCCTGACTTTTCCAACTTTTAGGCCATATAGAGACCATTTTTGGCCCATGGGGCCAATTCTAGACATGTAGGGCCATTTATGAGCTCGGAATTGGATTCAGCGTCGGAAAAAAGCCTGGAAATACATATGTCCGACCGGCAAGTCTGAACACTTTTTTTGTTGTTATTGGTCTTATATTAATGCTGTATACAACCATCACAAAGTGTTTGGGTTAGATCCCCAGATTATTTCTGTAATGTTTTTGCATACCAATATTTTTGCCATTGTGGCCTTATTTATTATTTTCTTCTCATGTATATTCCAGAGAAGTTTGTTGTCCAGGGTTGGACCTAGATACATCACCTCTTTTTTCGTATATCTATCTAACTTTACCAGTTATAAGCTACGAAATTGAGTTCCCTGTTGAAAATGCCTCTAGTATTGTTTTGGTGGGGTTTATACTGTTTCATCTCGCAGCACCATCTCCTTGTCCTCTTTGGACTTAATCATACATAAAATTATCTAACTTGCCTATAATAAATATGACTATGTCGTCGACAAAACATTGAGAAGGTATATAGAGGTCATTTAGTTTGCATAGAAGTTTACCTATGGTCAGGCTCCACATTAGTGGGGATATAACTTCTCTTTGTAGACTGCCTTTGGTAGTTAATATTGCAGCTGAGATATCCATCTAGATGTTGTACTGTCTACCCCTTTGTATTAGAATCCTTCTTGGACAGAAGATACACATGACCGTTTTTTGTTAGTCAATGCATCCTGCATTTTGTCAGTCCGCTATTAGTGTCGGTCGATCAGCGTGGTCATAACCTCAGCTGTAGAGATACGTTATTTGATGAATAGAAAGAAAATTTATTTATTAATCTGAATAAAAATTATTAAATTTAAAGAAAGTTGTTACAAATCGTCGGCTTCACAGAAAATTTTATAGTTATGACATTTTTTATTTGTTCGAATGAACATTTTAAATTCTTCTTTGAAACAAATAATTTATTTAAAATGACAAACCCATAGAATAAACTCCATATTTACTTTAAAACAACATCATATTTGGTTGGAATAAAGAAATATTTTTCTGGAAAATAGTATCTACAATTCCTTTCTTGTTTAGTTGTTGCTAGGTACCTTATTAACCAATGATAGCACAAATCCATACTTTATGTAGTCAAAAAATATTAAAAAAATGTCTATACTAAATTATCTTATTCTGCAGCATAAGGATGATAGGCCTTCATAAGTATATCTAGATTTTGCAGGCTTAAGGAAAGAAAATAGATTGGAAAATGTTCCCTGTCAATTTTATTATTTATTTACAAAAAATTACAATATTTGAAAAACTAACAAAATTATTGAATGTTCTATTTTATTAAAAATATATATTTTTTTTAGAATTCTAGAAATTAGGAGAAAGGAAAATGAAAGGGCGACAGATGTTAAAAAAATTAAAGAGAGAGAGAACGGACTGAAAGCCAAAATAAAAAGAGTTAAACAGAAACTTCAAACTACTACGTGATTAGTTTTTATTTTATATGTTATATTTATTTGTTTTCGAATATTTTATTTGAGAGCATTGTTGCGATGTTTTAGAAGTTTATATTAAGGAAATAAATTTATTTTTTTAAAACACTCTTTTAACTATTTAACTACCTAACCGCCAAGAGAAGGAGGATAGATAATCAGTTTTTTAATAGACAAACTTATGCCATATTCCAAAAAAATGCAAAAATCTGATACTGACAAGGTGAGTTGACTAAGTACAAGACAATTTTTATTGTGTTAGATTGTTATGACAATTAATTAATTGGTTTAATTTTCAATCTTATACCTCTATGAAATTACGTCGTACAGACCAATCTTCCTGTTGTCTGTTATCTCAAGAGTCTATGAAAAATTGTTTCTTAAGGTCCAATACCCTCCTAACAATTTGTTTAGTAAAAAAAAAAAAATTTGACCATCGACCAAACTCACAGATTCACGGATATCATCGAGAAGTCCCCAGAAGAGAAAACGTTTGCTTTACTCCATAGTCGTTTTGGATGTAGCTTAGACTATAGACAAAGTATGTCATAAAGGATTGTTTCATAATGTGAACATGCCACTGCTTCTTTTTATTTGGAGCACCGAGAATTTAAGTTCGTTTTCCTGGGCATTCGGTAAACACTAATTTGGATAGTTATAGAGAATTAGTTAATTTTAATTTTATATTTTTCAAGTATTCGGTTAGCACTCACAGCGTGAGGATTGAAATCGAACAGTGCGAGTTTACTGATTTATCAAAACCACTTTTTATTGCCGTGTTTGGGTGTGATTTTTATTACAATTAAACATGGAAATGGAGGTACAAGATATTCCGCCGGATAGGGGAAAGAATAATGTAAGCTATGAAATATTAACTAGTGAGGATATGAAAAGCAGTGAAGAGGATCTAAAATCAAAAAATGAGTATGTAAATAATAATGAAAATAACATTGAAAAATCTCAGGTAAGTCAAAATAATCAAGAAAAAACTTCTATTAATTTGGAGATAAAGGCCCATACTATGTTTTTGTGGAAAACAAATCAGGTAATATTGGAAAATTACACAGAATAGGGACCGCTAGAATTATTTTAAAGACCGAACCCGAAATCCAGAATAATATTGTTAATATTTCTGTTATAGGAAAAAATAAGGTCAGGGTAGAATTTAATTCATTTAATAGTGCAAACCAATTGGTTAAGTCAGATTCATTAAAAAAACATAACAATGACGTATATATTCCTACTTTTTATACACAAAAACGGGGTGTTATTAGACATGTGGATGTTAATTTGTCAGAAACAAAATTAAAAAATATTATTGAAGGTAGATTCGGTACTTCAGTAACAGTTACAAATGTTAAAAGAATGTTTAGAAAAGCATATGATAAATTAATTCTCACTGGGACAATTATTGTTTCATTTAAAGGACAAACAGTCCCAAATCAGGTAATAATAGAGAGATTAGTTTATGAAGTTGAAAAATTTATCCCTAGAGTTATTCAGTGCCTCAATTGCCTACGTTATGGGCATATCGGTAAACATTGTAAGGGAAAAGTTAGGTGCAGGTTTTGTGGCGAAGACCATAGTGATAATACATGACCAGACAAAACAAATCCCACCTGTGTGTTGTGTAAGGGCAATCATACAGCTACCGACAAGGCTAACTGTCCGAAATATACTGAACAAAAAACAGTTAAACACATGATGGCCACTGAAAATGGTAGTTACTCAGAAGCTTTCAATAAACATAAATCCAGTTATGCATCAGCTACAAACAATAGTAACCAAAGCTCTAAATATACAATAACACAAAAAAGAAAACGCTCTGCTGTAAGTCCAAGTATCATAAGTTACCCCAAAGTCAGATCATTCCTTCCTCTTCCCGGAATCAAAATGATTATTCAAACGAATTATTCAGAAATCAGTTATTATGCGAATTAATAATTAATGGTATAAAAGAATTTCTTTCAACAGATAACACTGAAATTTTAGATTTGATAAAAGAAAAAATTTCTCCAATTATTAATAATGTTCGTAGTTAAAATATTACAATGGAATGCTAGATCGGTTATTCCCAATAAAGGTTTGTTGGAAAAATATCTGTTCGATAATAATATTAATGTAGTCTTGTTAAGTGAAACATGGTTAAAAAAACAAATAAACATACACTTTTCTGAATATAATTGCTTCAGATTAGATCGAGATGATGGTTATGGCGGAGTCGCTATCCTCTTAAAAAATAATATTACTTTTTATAATACTAAACTATTTTATAAGATAAATAATGTCATGTGCACATCAATAACAATTAAAGTAAAAAACAAAAATATTTATATTTATTCAATATATGTTAAACCTAACTTAAAAATTACAACTAGAGAATGGAATCGCTTTTTTAGTAGTCTACAAAAGCCATTCTGCCTGGGGATGTGATTTGACAGATCTTGCGGGAACTGAGTTACTAACTGCAATAGAAGATAATAATTTAAATTTTCTAAACGACGGTTCAGAAACATTAATTCCTAATCATAATACAAAAAATAAATCAGCGATTGATTTAAAAATATGTTCTGGAGATATTTCAACCTTATGTGACTGGAACACTGATAAGATCTCCTTAGGGTCCAACCATTTTCCAGTAAATATTCAAATAAATATAGACGATGAAAATACGCTCATAAGTTCAAATAGCCACATTAGATGGAATGTAAATAAAGCGGATTGGAAGTTATTTTCCTATCTAATGGAACAAATTTCTTCAGAAATTAACGAAGAAAATATAACATATGATGAATTTATTAAAAAATTTGAAGAACAGATTCGTCTATCTATGCCAGAGCGGAAAACAACTACCAATTCTAAATTTTGTAAATCTTGGTGGAATGTAAATTGCGAAAATGCAATAAAACAACAAAAAGAAGCATTTCTTCTCTTCAAACGTAATTCAAATGTAAATAATTATATTAATTTTAATAGATCAGTAGCGTACACAAAAAGAATTATATTGGAGAGTAAAAGGACTTCTTGGCGTAAATTTTGTTCTAACTTAAATAGGAGTACACCGATGAAACAGGTTTGGGATGAAGTTAAAAAATTAAAAAATATATACAAAATTCCTAAAAATAACATAACTAGGGACAACTGGGTAGAAACGTTTCTTCATAATATTCTACCTCCTGGGGTACCAGAAAAACAATTAGAACTAGATCATAGAAATTCAAATAACCCTTTATTAAAAGAATTTTCATTGCAAGAATTGCAAAATAGTCTTAAAAATAAAAAAATACTTCTCCGGGAATGGATAGCATTCACTATATAATGCTCAGTAATTTACCACATAGTAGCAAAATTATCCTTTTAAAATTGTACAATCATATTTGGAAAAACAACGAAATTCCAAAGAGTTGGAAAAACGATATCATTCCTATTTTAAAGCCCGATAAGGACCCTACAAAACCAAACTCATATAGAGGCATTTCACTTGGGTCATGTATACTAAAAATATTTGAACGAATGATTAAATCAAGATTAGAGTTTTGGTTAGAATCTAACAATCTCGATCCTAAAAGTCAATTTGGATTCAGAAGAGAACACTCGACGATAGAGAATTTGGGAAATTTGATTACTGACATTAATCTCTCATTCTCAAACCACCAACTGGTGTAACTGATGTAAATCGTTGCAAGAAACGAATGATGACTCAGAGTGTACGATACGATAGTTACAGACGCGTTACACTAGAAAGAAGCACTTAACGAGGCGCTTTAGCCACTAATTTCGGCGAATTTTAAAAAATCATTAACAAGAGATTAAGAGCTTAAATTTGGGGATTATATTAAGAATACTGCTGTTGAGGAATGCATTTATTTTCATTATGATATTTCAAAATTTAAAGCCCTTTGATTTTTTTCTCGGAAACTGGAAGGAATTAAAACTTAAAAAAATATGCATATTCTAGATATGATTGCCTAACTTATTTTGCCCAAATTTAAATTTTCTAAAAAAATTACTTTTTGAGATATCCTTGTCCGAAAATTATAAGGGGGTGCTGTAATCACCTTAAACATCTTATTTCAACAAATGGTTCAATTAGGATTACCGGCGGAATTCTGTCAGAAAATAATTTCATTATTCAATGATAGAGTACTATACGTTAAAATAAAAGATGAGATAATTGGCCCACGGTCTGCATCCAAAGGATTACCTCAAGGAAGTATTCTTTCTCCACTTTTATACCTAGTATATACAGCCGACCTAGAACAAATGTGGAGAAACACATACAACACCGTCAAGATATTGCAGTATGCAGATGATATCTGTATATATAAAAATAACTGTTCTGTACCTAATGGGAACCAAAGTGTTAGCAACTTTTACGGTCAAATTAAATCATGGTGTTTTAATAAAGGATTCACAATTTCCGAGAATAAAAGTCAAGCATGCATATTTTCAAAAAAACACAATTTACTTGAAAATATAAAACTACAATCAACAGAATTTAATGTAAAACATAAAGTTAAATATTTGGGCATGGTATTGGACAGAAAATTACTATGGAAGGATCACATTGACTCTGTTGTAACCAAATCAGAAAGAGGTCTAAATATATTAAGGGCAGTAACACATACATCATGGGGCGCAGATGCTAATATTTCTTTATGTCTATATAGATCATTTATAAGATCCATTCTAGATTACGGCTCAATTTTTTACCATCAAGCTGCAAATACACATACAAAAAAATTAGATGTCTTAGTAAACCAGTGTCTTAGATTATGTTTGGGAGCATTAAGAAGTACACCAAATAGTAACATTTATGTAGAAGCGGTTGAATATCCTTTATATCTAAGAAGAATATATTTAAGTTCTAAATTTATATATAAATTGAAGTACAAAAATAGTGATTTACTAAAAAAAATTAATGATTTATATATTTTGGATCTCACAAGTAAATACTGGCAAAAGAAAAAATCTCCGGCCTTAATAGACTCATATTCCGAGATACAAGCAAGCCTAAATGATACGTATTCAACAAATATTCCACCCATATTTCAAATTGATTTACAAGAAATACATTTTAAAGAAACTCTGTTACCCCAAAAATACCATGAATTAGAACCCCAATTAAGAAATGTAATATTCAACCATG